CCGTCCTCTTGTCTGGGTCTCCCACCAACCCTGCCAGGTGAGTGACACTGTTGCCACCTAACAGGTCCACAGGCCACAGAGGGGAGGGCGCCCGCGGGAGTCTTCTTCCTTGTCGTTCTAGCATCTTTGTTGAGCTTCTTTAGGGAATTTTGGTTTGCAAGTTGCTTCTCTTCCCCAAGTCTCACTTTCCCTGTTGGTGCAATGGGTCGATCAGAATCCCTCCCTGGTGGGGTCGTGAGGACCGAAAGCAAGGCAAGGTAGAAGGGAGAGTTTGCTCGTGTAGTCACTGGACACGATGTTCTCGGCTCCTGGGACAACGTGAGGTGGCAGGGCCGGGGCAGAGGAGGCGAGGAGCCGGGAGCTCGCGGAGTGTGCGTGCGGCCTGGGGAGAGAGGGCCGATAGCACCAGGCGCAGTGACGCGAGTGACAGAACACCGGCGCTAGCAGGTGCTGGGGGCACGTCAGGAACGCCTGCTCTGGGGGCCAGTGTCCTAAGAGTTTTAAACATTTTCCTCACTGAATACGCACGATGACTCAGAAGGAAGTGTGCTGTGATCCTCATTTCACAGAGAGGGGCACTAAAACCCAGGGGCCGAGACAGGTCCAAGGCCACCCAGCCAGGAGGGCAGGGCCGCAGGCGACCTGGGCAGGACGCTCTCCCGCACGCATGTCCCGGCCGCACGGTGCTCAACGCCTTTTCATCCGTAGGCACACGGGGCTTCTGTCCTGCATTCGAACAGAACTCTGACGGGAGCAAACCTGGGGGCCGCAGTGGCCGGCCGGGTCGTCAAAGAGGGAGACCTAGCGCCCTGTGGCAGGCTGGCCTCTTCACAGAGGAGCCAGCCCAGCCTCGCAGTGCTCGGCACCCCTGCCCCTGACCCTGCCAATGCCTGTCTCCCTTCGGGGCGGCAATTAGACCGTCTTAGACATCATTTGCTCCGGCCCCGACCCCAAATGGCGATTCTGCAGCAGCCTTCTTCAGAGAGAGATGGCCGCTCGGCCTCTGCCTGGCCACTGACCGCCTTCCCGGAGCCATTGCCCGTTCCATTGTAAATGCTCCCACTGCCCTGGCCGACTTCCTGGCAAACTTTGAAATCCAAACTTCACGGGCTTCCAACTTTTTTCCACTATTGTTTTTTCATCTCATCTTTATCATTGCATTTTCCCATTACCATTTAGTCCCCGTACTCCCCTCCCCCTGGCACCCACCACGCTGTTGTCCACGTCCATGAGTCCTTTTTCCCTTTTGCTCACTCCCTCCGTCCACTATTGTTTCAATGCCCTTTAGTGAGAGGAGCGGCCCTGCCGAGTGCGGGAAACCCGAGTCTGCCTCCCCGGCAGGGACACACAAAAGCCAGTCACTCGGGGAAGCCGCCTCCCTCCTCTGGCTTCCATAATCTCTTCTAGGAAATCAGGGTGATAAGTATGTCAATTGTGATAAAATACACGTAACATCACATTTACAGCCTTGACCGTTTCTAGGCGTGTAGTGGAGCGGCGTCAAGCACACGCACTGCTGTGCAGCCGTCCCTGCCACCCATCTGCGGAACTTTTTTCACCTGTGGAACTGACACTCTGTCCCCACGAACACCAACCCCCATCGTTCTCTCCCCCTGGCAACTCCCTGCCACCTTCCGTCCGAGTCTGACCGTGCTGGGCGCCTCACCAAAGTGGAATCATATGGGGTTCGTGCACTGGGGACTGGCTTACTTCACTTAGCGTGATGTCCTCAAAGTGCCGGGACCAGAATCGCCTTCCTTTTCAAGGCCAAATAATATTTCATTATGTGGATAGACCACATTTTGTTTACCCAGTGGAATGACAATTTTTGAGGACAAGAAGCCATGTCCCATTCTTACTCCTATGTCTTTCAGAATAACCCCAAGATGTCATAAACCGTTTAGGTGCCCGCAGCATCATCAAAGGGGACATGTGTCCTGAAATAGTCCAGCTTGTTCTAGTTACCCGAAAAGCCTTCCCCAGGCCCCAGTCTGGTTGACTCCCCATCCACAGGGCCGGGTTTGCAGGAGGAGCAGTGGGGGCTGAGAGCGCTGAATGGCCACCGGTCCTGGTGGCCTTTCTTCCTGTTTGAGGTCACTGGACGCCCAGGCCAGTGTGGGGTCAGTGTTGTTCAGAAGGTGCGTTTGTTCTCTGGCCTTTTCCAGCTTCTACAGCCATTCACATTCCTTGGCTTGTGGCCCACCCCTCCCTCCTCCATGTTCGAAGTGAGTGGTGCTGCGTCTTCCAACCTCTCTCCCCCACCACATCTCCTCTGATCCTGACCCTCCTGCCTCTCTCTCAGGGTCCCTATAATTACATCGGACAACCCGGGTGGCCCAGGGTAATCTCTTCATACCCTTCACTTACTCAGCTGCCAAGGCCCTCTGGCCGTCTGCACGGTTTCCGGGGCTGCTGTAACAAACTGATACCAACTGGCGAATCTGAAAGGACAGAAATTTAGTCTCTCACAGTTCAGGGGGCCAGAGGTCCACAAGCAAGGGGTCAGAGGGTGGGTTGATTCCTGTCAGGCTTGGCGAGGGTCCGCCCCCCTTCACCTGCTGGCGGCAGCCAGCAGCCCTGGCGTCCCCTGTCTTGCAGCTGCGTCCCTCCCATCTCTGCCTCCGTCCTCACATGGCCGTCTTTCCTCTGCAGGTGTACGTACGTCTGTGTGTCCGAATTTTCCTCTCTAAGGACACTGTCATTGGATTATGGTTCACACTCACTCAGCATGACTTCATCTTAAACCGGTGACATCTGCCAAAACCCTCCTCCCAGTGAGGACACATTCATGGGTTCTGTGCAGAAATGAATTTGGGGGCAGCCATTCAACACCCCGCACCATGTAAGATAACAAACACTCATTCCGGGGATGAGGTGCGGGCATTAGGAGCCCTTGTTCGTCAGTAAAGATGGGGCGTGCAGGGGTGCTGGTGGCCTCGGGGTGCCCGTTCGTCAGGCTGCAGGAGGCCCAGCGTAAGGCACTATATGCCTTCTTACCCCTTAGTCAGTGGACTTGAACGGGGTCCTCGGAAGCCAGCCCCTTGGGTGAGGATAGGAAGCCTTCCCCCTGCTTATCCATCTGGTGGGCTGCAAGGCCACCGCCAGGACAGCTTCCAGGACAAGCTGCCTCCCCTGCCCCCTCATGGCAGGTTAACGGGTCCCTGGGGGGAGGGCGGGAATGAGGAAGGTGAGCATTGCCATCCTCTGAAGACCTGGGCTGATCCCTACTGCGTGCACGCCATTCCTGCAGAGCCAGCCTGGGCGGGGGTGTGGGGGGGCCACATTCCGTGAGAAGAAACTTCGTGAGCCTGCAGGAGAGGCCACCATGCCTGTGTTCACCCAGCTGGCGAGAGGGCAGGGGCGGTCCCCGCTCCAGGCCGGAGTGGACAGGCCTGGCCTGCTTCGTCTTTGCAACCTTAGCCCTAACTTAGCGTGCGCCTCCTGAGTGTGAGTGACCCTGAGCATAGTGACAGTGGCCTGTTGTGAGTCCTCTGGGGCCAGGCACTTTACAAAGCTGGCCGACCAGAGCCCAGGTGGCCCTTTATGGTTGAACAGATGAAAATTGGAACCTTAAGCCCTGCAGCTAATAACTTGCAGAGTCCAGATCGGAACTCAAGTCCTTATGGTTTCAAAGCACTTGTTTTTTTAATTTTCAGATTTTTTTTTTACTGTGGTAAAATACACATAACAAAATTGACCATCTTCACCATTTTTAAGTATGAAGGTCAGTGGTATTAAATAATTCATTATGTTGTACAAAGACCACCACCATGCCCCTCCACAACTCTCTCATCTTGCAGAACTTTAAGTAGCAGTGACCACATTCCTTCTCGCCCCACCCAGCCCCTGGCAACCTCCATTCGACTTTTAGTCTATAGGATTCTGGCCGGTCCACGTGTCTCATGTAAGTCTTTCTGGGTTTACCTTATTTCCTTAGCATAAGTTCTGTCCTCGAGGCTCATCCATGTTATAGCAGATGCCGGAATTTCCTTCCTTTTCAAGGCTGAATACTACCCATTGTATGCATAAGCCCCATTTTGCTTATCCACTCATTTGTCAATGAATCCTTGGGTTGCTTCCATGTTTTAGCTCTTGCAAAAAAATATTGCTATGAACATGGGTATATAAATATCTCTTTAAGATTCTGCTTTAATTCTTTAAGCACATATGCAGAAGTGGGATCACTGGGTCATATGGTAATTAACATGTTTAATTTTTAGAGGAACCACCATACTGGTTATTTTGTTGTTTTCAGTTGCAATTGACATAAAATATCACATCAGTTTCAGGTGTAAAGCATAGTGAGTACTATGGGACCACCCTCACTCTGGTGACATGTGGCCGTATCTGGAGACATCTCTGGCTGCCACAACCTAAGGTGTCTGCTAGCACCTGTGGGTGGAGGCCGGGGTGCTGCAAACGTCCTTCAGTGCACAGAACAGCCCCACCAGTTACCCAGCGCCAGGGCCGGCAGTGCCGAGTGGGGGGACCCCAGTCTGGGCTGTTTGCAGGAGACCCTGTTTACTCTGTCCTGCTCAGCTGAGTTCTTCGTGGCACTTACTGCAATCTGTAATTATCTGGATTGCTAACTTTTGAGGGGAAAAAGCCTTTTATTGTCCTGAGTGTAAGTCCAAGGCAGCAGGGGGCCTTTCCCGTCTTGTTCACCGCTGTGTGCCCAGCGCCAGCCCGAGGCCTGAGGTACGGTAGGTGCCCGATAACAATCTGTTTTTGAGTGAGTGCAAGGAACCTGTAATGAGTGCTTCTGTCTCCCCCATTTAGTCAGATCTGCATAATGAAGCAAAATGAAATTCTGCTCCTCTTCAATTCAAATTAGATTGATATTAGTCCAATCAAATCCTGTTGTTCAGGATATCTTGTCAAATGGTGGCTGTGTTTATAACACATACGCTGAAAATTCACCTGCTCTCCACCTGCTGAAAAAGACTGAGATGAGAAACAGAGAGACCGAAACTGAGTATTTAATTTATAAAATGTCACCATTTTTATTTTGTCATTGTAAAGAGGTGTATCTCAACCAGATTGTAACAAAATTACCACAGCTTATTCCAAAAGAAAATTTTAATACAAGAAATTTTAGAAAATTAAACACATTTGTTTAAAAATTCTATCATGTAAACCTCAACATAAGAGGGTAGTTAAGATAACACTACACGTTTCAGAGTGAACCTGCACACGTCTGGGCCTCATTTACATACAGGCGGTAGACCGGACTCCACTGTGTTGCCGTCTTGGCCCTGCCTGCTGGGCCACTCGGCCAGGCTGAGGGCCTCCGGCCTGGGGTGAACATGGCTCCTGTGTTCAAAAGACCCCCTCGTCCGAGAAGTCGTCAGTACCTGATGGGTTAAGCAGTGTTTTACCGAACGGCTGTGCCAGGGATGGTGAAGCTAAGGCTGCAGAGGTAAGACGTTCTTTCTAGGATGAATCCTAGATAATAAAAAAATCCTGATTAGCCCCCCCACCACCTCGCTCCTGGAAACACACGTCCTGCAGGCTCCTTTCTGCAGTGTCCAGTGACCACTGCACAAGGCGCAGTCCGCCACCTCGTCCCCATCCATGTCCCCAGCCCCAGGTTCTGCAAGGGCATCTCCCCTGCAGTTCCCGACGGCAGGAAGCAGCCGTGGGCAGACTCGGGGAGGTGGCAGCCCAGACAGGCCAGCTGTGGTCTTCCAGTTATGATGGGAGCACATGCGTGTGCCAGTAAGAACTGACCCCTGGGCTCAAAACACTAACGAACCCAGCGCATTCTACTGGCGGCACCATCACCCAGGCTCAACCGTCTTCCAGAGAAATCAGACCGTTTTCTGCCCCAAAGAAACTGGGTGGGTGGGTCAGAAAGCCCGCCCACTGTGGCCCTTGAAATTCAGAGACAACAGCAAGGCCCCGGGAAGGAAATCGGGGCCGTACCCTGGCACCAGCTGCAGGCTGGAAAGATGCGTACGTAGTCCCGAGACGGACTGATGCGTGCGTGTCAGCAACGGGGGCTGAGTGCAGAGGGCTTCTCCCCTCACCCCCACTGATCCCGTAGCCGCAGTTCTATTTTAGGAACATAATGAAGACTGTGTGTTACAGACACATGAAAATGAAGCTTTTGGCACGGAAATCTTAGATAAAATATACAGTGCTACAATTGTGTAAAATTAGCACAGAAGCCAATCTGAACAGCAAATATTTAGTGAAACAATTCACAATATTTAAAAAATAATTGCTCCAAAAGACCTTGCGCAGAGGCAGGCGCCTGCCTGCCCCAAGGGTCCTGTCTGCCGAGGCTCAGCCCGCAGGCCGGGGAGACGGCCCAGTGTGTGCAGCACTGTCCCGGGTGCAGCCCACAGGAAAAGCTGCGACAGCCGTTGCCTTCGTGGTTGGAGACTGAGTGTGAGGTGTGTCCTGTCAGGGACCCTCTTAGCCAATCTGATGTTGGGGGCAGTGGGGCCCTTGGCAGGATCTTTCTCGGGCAGGTCAGGGCCTGCCCGCCCCCAGGACGAGGGTGGAAACCAGCCTGTGCTTTGCCATCAGTTACCTGCCGAGGCCAGGAGACAGACTGCGCACTCCTGGGCACTGGGGCTTGCAGAAAGGAGCCAGGATGAAGGAAGAAGTCTGGAGGGACAGGTTAGAAGGTGCCTGTGAAGGCCCCAGAGAACAGGGCCTGGCCTCCACGGGGCCGGGGGATGGGTGCAGGAGGCAGCCTGCATCTCTGGGCTGGGCCGCCCTCACGTGAAGGTGAGCAGGTGGCGTGGGAGCCGAGGCCAGGAACCCGTGACCTGGTCCTCAGGCCGGCAAACTGTCCCATGTGGTACCAAGAGAAAGGAGGCCACTAGCCGGCCTGGCCGTAGCCCTGCTGCTGGGAAACAAGCTGCACTGCTTCTGATCAACCCGGCTGGCTGGCATCTTCCTTCTCCTGACTCTGGCCCTAAACCTGGGGATTAATTATTGGGCCTCCAGGGCCAGATGCCTCTTGCATTAGTTATAACGGTGTTATCCATCCTGGAGATGTGACAGCTTTGATTGCCTCTGTTTTGTTATAGTCACAACACAACCTGCTGCCCCAGTAAAATCTCAGTGGTTATCAAAGGACTCATCTTAATAAGCTCTGAGCCACAGCTCAGCCAAGTGCTGTAATTACACCTCGTCCTTGAGCCCTTACCCAGTCTCACAAGACGGCGTCCTGGCCTTACAACTCTATCAGGTGCCCCTTCTGTAGCCTGGAAGCCCTTGGATGTGCCTGGCTATTGGGTGTTAAGAGCGACCTCCACGGACACGATAGTCACTCCTCCCCCAGGGGCCCAGCTAGACAAACGTCAGGTTGTTTTAACTGTGGCTCTGTGCTCTCTGCAATTGAGGGCTTGCTGGTAACATGTGAGGTGTGTGCCCAGGAACGAGAGTCCACGAGCTGGAGCTGGCCACGCCAAACTCGAGCAGTGGACTGACTGCAGGCGCTGGCGGGAAGGCTCGCTCCCTGGTCGGGAGTTGCTCAGGTCTAGGTCTGCACCAGCCTTGGACGGCCTTCCTGGGAGCTTTGGTTTTCTCTTTTAAGGAGAGACACCTCTGCCCTTCCTTTGTTTCATCTGGGGGAACGGAGCAAAAAACAAATGAGACACTGGCAGAGACAGACCCTAGTGATGTTCTTGCTACAGCTTCCTGTGAGCCGACTGCTTGCCTTTGGTGAGAGGACTGGAATAGACTTTTGAGCCCAATCTAGGCGCGGTCCTTGAGGTTCAAGGCCCTCTAGAGACAGGCAGACCCCACTGGCTTCCCTCTGAACAGGAAGGCCTTCCTCTCTTGGCTGCCAATTTTGGGGGCACCAAAGAATCTTCTAACTGAATCAAGGACACAGGCAACTTCTATTGGTCCTTTCCACAGGGCTGTCTTTTCTGCTGACGGGTCCCAGGGGCTGAGTGGGTCTTCAGAGGGAGGACCACAGCCTGCCCTCCAAACTGGGTCTCGGGTGAAGGTGCAGGTGAATGTCCTGAGGGGGTGGCATTTAATGCACCAGCTCTCAGCCTGGACCTGTGACCCTGGGTGGTTTGCCTCCTTCAGGAGCTAGGGGTCAGCTGAGCAGCTGAGTGGATGAGATCACTGCAGAGCATTCTGCGTGGCGCCAGAGTTAAGGCTTTGAGGAACTGCTGCAATGTGCATGTCACATGCATGTCTAAGCTGACACCAGGGCGTGGTCTGTGCATTGAAGATGGTCCCAGGGTTTCTGCATGATCACAAAACAGCGGTGCAAAGAGCAAGCTGTAGATGATGCCCGCAGGGCCCCTAGGAACGCGCTTTCACAATCTTCACTTTGGGAGAGTAGGGCAAGTTTTCCATGAATAGTTAAGCTTTTAAAAATGGGGGGGGGGGCAGGGTTCCTTCTTTTTAATTACAGGCTGGGTGTGGGCTTTCTTCTCTGGACTTAGCGTCGGTCCTGTCGTAGCTTGGAAGCAGGTTCCTGGAGGGCTGGTTGCAGAAGGCTAGGCCAGATTCGCACGCAGATGTTTCGGGTCAGGTACCAAAAAGACTGGCCGATCAGAACCCCGGTCCCAGGCCCAGGTGGGGCCACTGGGAGTGGGTAGTTTTCCTCCATATCATACGCACAAAAAGGAGACGTCTCAGGGCAGGTCCCACTGTCCAGACAAGCGGTGCTGGGACGGTCTTTCAGTGGGGATGGCAGACGGACTTCAAAACGACTGAGGGGAGGAAACACAAAGTGGGCATCAGGGTGCAGCGCAGCTTGAACTCTGAGAGGCCCGACAATTTAGTCCCGGAGGCTCTGTTCAGAGCAGCCAGCCGCAGAGACCCAAGGGGCCCTGTGGACTTGGAACTGAGACAAAGGAAGAAAGAAACCATGTTGCCTTTCTAGGACACGACACGGCCTCTCAGGTGCTCTGACCCCCGCGAGCTGAGAGCAGGGACTCCTGCCACACACTCCTGCCTCCAGCTGCAGGGCTGTGCATACATCAAGTCAGCCTCAGAATTGCCCTGGATGAGGTTCATGGGGCTGACAGAACACAGCATAACAACCTTCCGGGTGAGTCTCCCCAGAGCCTTTCTGTCCAGGAAATGCTCAGTGCACACCCGGCCAATTCACCAAGCTCTGTGCTGAGGAGTTGACACCCCCAGGCCGAGGGCGTGGGTCACCCCCGACCCCCCGCCACATGCACACCGTCTGACTCCCACGTTCTCTCTTCCAGTTTAACTTATTCCCGGGTAGTCTGTTTTACAGTTTTGTATCTAGTTCGTTAATATTTCCTCCAGAAAATGCAAACTCTTCAAAATGGTACTCAGCAGCTGAAGACAGCTCTTGCCCAGGGGGAAGACAGCTCCGTGATTCTCGCCATGAACATCAGCCGATGCGCTGGTCCGGGGAGGGGTCTGCTGGGAGGCAGCCGCAGCGGTTGCCACGCTCTCACCTTTATCCTCCTCCTGCCTGTCGGCAGGGCCTGTTCTGAGATGGGGCACAGGGGACTCGGTCCAGGGGAGCCAGGGCCCTGTCCCCACAAGATCATGTTGGGGGGCAGGGGCGCACTGCGGGCCCGTGTCTTTAGGGTTCAGGTAGGGATGATCACAATCTGTGCAAGGTGGACACCGTGTCCAAGTACACGGAGGGCCACAGCGTGGCCACGGAGCTCCAGAGCTGGGTATGACGTCCAGGGGGCTCCCAGAGCCTTCTGCAGAGCCGAGTCTCTCACGGCCTTGAGGCCTCGGGGCTTGTGAGGCCAGGGCCCCTGATTTCTGGACAGGTCGGGGCTCTTCAACATGGGGTCACCAGGTTGCTGCTGCTGACTCCGGCCTGGATGGGTAAGGTTCACCCAAACCTGACAAAGGTGCACGTGGGTCCGAGGGCCTCAGGTTTCCCACACAGGCGGGACCTTCTAGAAGCCAGTTGTGCTCCCAGAACCCCAGTTTAGCATCACTTAATGGCTCTTTCACAGGAAGGCCACCACACTGGGTCCCGGGAGCAGTGATGCCACAGAGCTGCTGCTGGCCATGGTGGTGAAACTAGGGTGTCTAATGACCACTAGTGGAAAGTAAAATGGAGAATAGCAGCCCCCACCCCAATCTGGCCATAGGTTGTAGCAGGCAATTACATTAAACGGAAAAAAAAACCAAACCTGTAACAGTCATTCTAATTCCCGTGTGGGAAAGAGTCAAGAGGTTGTTTCTGAGTGAATCTTCTGACCAAATGAAATAGCAAAGTTGTGCATCTTGACTAGGGGCTCCATGCCCAACCTGGTGCCCGCCCTCCTGCCGGCCCCTGGGCCGGGGAGGAGACAGCGGCCCTTGCTGCTCAGGGCAGACCCTGGGAGAGTGGTGCCCGTGTGCCCGAGCCTGTCCAGCAAGGAGCCACCTTGCTTTCTGACTGACCAGTTTAATCAGGGTGCCATGGACTGGTGGGGAAGGTGTGCTCTCTGGGGTTCACCCGGTGGAGGTGGTTGTCACTCCAAGGTGTAAGGGGCTGGCTGCTGCGGCCGCATTGGATGCAGAGCAGCCAGGGTGGAGGCAGCTGGCGCAGCACACAGGGGGCCTGAGTCTGCGATTCCATCAAGGTCAGAGGTCGCCGCTCTGGGGCTCCACATTGCGCGTCTCCCTGGGGTGACTGCGGGACAGCTTGGGGAAGCGGGAAGCCACTTTGGGCCGGCTGTTCTTGTTCAGTGGTTCTCCGGGTGTAACGTCACTGTAAGACAGAGCAGGGGAGAATCTGAGTAAGTCGGGGTTCCGAATGCAGAGGAGTGGGAGCCCTGCAAGAGTCAAGGGCAGTGGTCGCCAGCTCTGACTGCTGAGTGCAACATGGAGAAACTGCAGGTCCACATTGTTGTGTAAATGTTCTGTCTTTGAAAAGCACTCAAGCGTTGTTGTGGTCCAAACTAGCTTGGGCCAGCGGCTTAACCGTATTTTAAGGCTATGAAAGAAGGTACAACCATGGTGTTCTCCCCCCATTTTCACTGATCTTTCAGCAAAGGCACATTTCAGAGCCACAGGAAAGAGGATGCTTTGGAGAACACTGCATGTAAAGTCATGAAAGAGGTGCAGCACAAACAGGGGAGGGACTTCCTGCACAGTTTATCCTGGGAGAGTAGTCGGATGGACGCCAAGGTCTAATTAGAGGAGTTTGTTCATCACAAGTGCGGAGGAGCCAAAAACAGGGAACAAAATGCGGATCCAGCACGGGGGATACTGACCCTGACTATCAGCACCCATGAGATGGGGCTGCAGGAGCCTTTAAGGACAACGGTGGGTGCATTTACTGACCCAGGGGGACCGTTAAATAGAGTTGGGCGGAGTAGGGCCTCCTGGCGCAGGGCTGTCAGGCTGGAGCTTCAGGAAAAGACTAAAGATTAGATTGTAGAAGAAGAAAAAGGGAAGCAATGCTTCGATGACCTGTATTACAGGTGCCTCACCAGTTTGTAAGACAAGTAAAGTAGCTAGCAGCTTGGTTCCCAAAAGATCTCTGTGCAGTTACTGGGGCCAGTGATGAGATGGGTGGGACGGAAAGACCCAGGCACAACGTTTTCTCTAGCAACACACGAGATGTGGAAAGTCAGGGAGAATGAGGCATGCCACTCAAAGCGATGCCATTCAAAACACAGCATGGCACAGACTTTTAGTGCCATGGCCTCAGAGCTGCTATGTGTCAGGGTGAAAAGTGGGTCTGACTTCGTGTGGGAGGGAAAGCAGACAGTGGCGAATGCGTGGATAAGAGCAATGTGAAATGACGAGCGACGACAATCACAGCTGATAGCATCACACTGCTGAGTGACCAGACAGAAGAGGAGGCACAGGCACAATGGACATTCTTGTTTGGCACTCTCATTTACAAATCATACATGGTCTATATAGTTTCTAAGGACAAGAATTAAAATACTCTTTTATATTAAAAAAGACAGTAGGGGTGTCTAACCCGGTCATGTATAGAAAAACCCTGAAGGATGTTCCTTCATTCCTCCATCCCACGGACCTTTCCTGAACACGCACGTGGCCCAAGCGAGGCCCTGGGCACGGGGGTCACAACAGTGAACAACACAGGTTCTCCCAGGCCCTGTGGGGCTCACAGCTGGGGTGCAGCGCGACGTGAGAACGTCACCTGCTAGGACTTAGGTTACACGCGCAACCAGAGCCTGCCTGAGGGGCAAGCGATGGCAGGCAGTGCCCCAGAGAGGGCTGTGTGGGGCTGGAGGGCAGGCCTGGGGGAGGGGGACAGGGATGGGACCTGAAAGTAAAAGGCACAGCTGAAGGATTCGGCAGGAAGTCCACAGCCGGCTGCATTTTCGGTGACTGGTGCCTGCTGGGTGGGGTGGACCGGAGGGGCCGGTGCTCTGGGCCCAGAGAGCACACGGAAGCCTGGGCTGTGGCTGTGAACGCAGGGGAGGTGGACTCTGTCTTAGTTCCTGTGGCTGCTCTAACACTGCCACACATTTAGTGGCTTGAGACAACACAGTGTGCTGTCCTGCAGTTCTGGAGGTCGGACATCCCAAATGGGTCTTATGGGGCTAAAGTCCAGGCGGTGGCCAGGTAGCTCCTCCTGGAGGCTCGAGAGGAGAGCTGCTTCCTTGCCTTTTCTAGCTTCTAAGGCTGGTGGTCCTTCCATCCTGAAAGCCAGCAGTGCGCCATCTTCCGCTCCTTCTCCCCCTTCTACGGATTCACACTGGGCCTGCCCGGACAACCTCCTGTTTCCCGGGACCCGTAATCACACCTGCGAAGCCCCTTCGCCGTGTAAAGAGACACCTTTCTGGCTCCAGGGAACAGGATGTGGACATCTCTGGGTTCATGACCTGTCTAGCACAGACTTCCCCCCACCAACAGCACTTACTATCTTTACTTCTTAACTCTGTATCACTGGCAGCTCAACGAACCTTGGTGTGTCTCAGTTTGAAAGGCTTTAAAGCACAACAACATATTTCATTGGTGGTTTATGCACTAATGTTTGCATTTTCTTTTTTAGAACTATTTAAAAATTTTATTTTTCAGTTATAGTTGACATAGATTATTATATTAGGTTAAGGTGTAAAAGATAGTGCTTAGACATTTACATACCTTGTAAACTGACCACCTGGTGAGTCCAGCACCACGTGACACCACACGTAGTTATCACCGTGTGATTAACTAGATTCCCTACGCTGCACTTTATCCCCACGACTGTCTGCATAGCTGCTCATTTGTACTACTTAACCCCTTCACCTGTTTCACCCAGTCTCCCAAGACCCCCCTCCCCCTCTGGCAACCATCAATTTGTTCTCTGTATCTGTTGAGTTTGTTTTGTTTGTCCATTTATTTTTTATTGTTGTTCAATTACAGTCGTCCCAGTTTTCCCCCAAGCTCTCCCTCACCCCTCCCACCCCACTGTCCGTACCCAGGGGTCCTTTATCCCTGCTCCTTCACTTGCCCCTTCCATTATCCCCTCTGGTCACTGTCAGTTTGTTCTTTTAAAAAATATTTTATTTATTTTTAAATATTTTATTTATTTATTTCGTTTTACAGAGAGGGAAGGGAGGAAGAGAAACATCAATGTGTGGTTGCCTCTCATGCTCCCTGCTGGGGACCTGGCCTGCAACCCAGGCCTGTGCCCTGACTGGGCATTAAACCAGCGACCCTTAGATCAGTTTGTTCTTTATTTCAATGTTTCTGGTTCTATTTTGCTCATTTGTTTGTTTTCTTGATTATATTCCAGTTAAAGGTGAGATCATATGGTATTTGTCTTTCACTGCCTGGCTTAGTTCCCTTGGCATAATGCTCTCCAGTCCATCCATGCTGTTGTGAAGGGAAGGAGATCTTTCTTTCTGCTATGTAGTGTTTATTATGTAAATATACCACAGTTTTTTGATCCACTCATTTACTGACGGGCACTTATGCTCTTTCTAGCACTTGGCTATTGTAAATTGTGCTGCTATGAATACTGGGGTGCATAAGGTTCTTTTGAATTAGTATTTCAGGGATCTTAGGGTAAAATCTCAGCGGTGGGATTGTCAGGTCAAAGGCAGTTCCATCTTTAGTTTTTTGAAGAAATTCCATGCTGTTTTCCACAGTGGCTGCACCAGCCTGCATTCCCACCAACAGTGCACTAGGGTTCCCTTTACAACCTCTCCAACACTTGTTTTTGTTGATTTGTTTACGATGGTCATTCTGACCAGTGTGAGGTGGTATCTCACTGTGGTTTTAATTTTCATCTCTCTGATGGTTAGTGATATTGAGCATCCTTTCATATGCCTCTGGGCCCTCTGTACATCCTCCTTGGATAAGTTTCTGTTCAGGTCCTTTGCCCATTTTTTTAATTGGGTTTTTTGTCTTCCTTGTGTGGAATCGTGTGAGTTTATATATTTTGGAGATCAAACCCTTGTCTGAGATATCACTGACAAATATGTTTTCCCATACATTTGGTTTCCTTTTCATTTCATTGATGTTTTCTTTAGCTGTGCAGAACCTTTTAATTTGATGTAGTCCCCTTTGTTTATTTCCTTAATATCTTTTGCCATGGGAGACATATCGGTGAAAATATTGCTGTGTGGGATATATGAAATTCTCCTGCCCATGTTCTCCTCTAAAACTTTTATGGTGTCACATCCTATATTTAAGTCTTTGATCCATCTTTAGTTATTTTTGTGTATGGTATAAGTTGGTCGTTTTTGGTTTTAGTTTTGTTTTTAGATTCATATATAAGTGAAATAATAATGTATTTGCCTTTCTCTGCCTGACTTATTTCACTTAGCACAATACTCTCTAGGTCCATCCATGTTGTTGCAGATGGTAAGATTTCATTATTTTTATGGCTGAGTCATAGTCCATTGTCCCGCATCTTCTTTATCCAATTTTCTACTGATGGATACTTACTTCCATATGGTTTCTTACATATCTTGGCTGTTGTTCATAATGCTGCAGTAAACAGAGGGGTGCATATATCTTTTTGAATTCATGTTTTGGATTTCTTTGGATAAATACCCAGAAGCGGGATTGCTGGGTTACAAGGGAGTTCTATTTTTAATTTTTTTGAGGAACCTCTATACTATTTTCCATAATGGCTGCACCAATTTACAGTTCCATTAATAAACACAATGGTTTCCCTTTCTCCACAGCCTTTCCAACATTTGTTGTTTTTTGATTTATTGATGATAGCTATTCTGCAGAGTATGAGGTGATATCTCATTGTGGTGTTAATTTGCATTTTCCTGATGATTAGATGTTGAGCATCTTTTCATATGTCTACTGGTCATCTGCATGTTCTCTTGGGCAGAGGACCTGAACAGACATTTTCCCATTTTTAAAATCAGATTATTTGGGGTTTTTTGGTGTTAAGTTGTAGGAGTTGCCAAATAACTTCATTCATTCAGTAGGTTGTCTTTTTGTTTTTGATGGTTTTTCCTTTGCTGCACAGACAGATTTGAATAGGGATTTGTTAAATGGTGAGATTATAGCTAGGAGAAAATATAAATGAGAAATAAGAAAAATACTTGTATAATAAATATCTCACTGGTCCATAGTGCTTTAAAAAAAACAAACCAAAGATTAAAGCTCACTCTCACGTCTCCATGTCTTCAGGCTCCATGCCAGGGGCCTCCTGCTATGGGTCCTGAGGCCCGCTGGGCTCTGCAGGGGCAGACAGAGCCCACTAGAGATGAGCATTGGGGCTCGGGGAGGAACAAGGCCACCCGGTGAAGAAGTGGTAGATCCGGGATCATCCAGGCC